TTGCACACAGCAGGCATAAACCCAGTACAGGTCCCTATGGGACACAGAGGTCCCTCTGCTCCTTTGTTTGGGGAAAGGCTGCCTGGGGAGGCCATAGTAGTTGCTACAGTAGGTAGGGCTGCGAGTGCTGCCCTTGCTGATCTTCTGTGCTGGGCCTTTGCAGATCAGGAAGAACGGACAAAAGCCATTGAGGCCTTCCGGGATGGGAAGAAGGATGTCCTGGTTGCCACTGACGTCGCTTCTAAGGGTCTGGACTTCCCAGCCATCCAGCATGTGATCAACTATGACATGCCAGAGGAGATTGAGAACTATGGTGGGCACTGGGCCCCACAGGGCCTATCAAGGGGTTGCAGAGGCCAGCAAGGCTCTGCACTTGAGTGCAGTGTCTGGGGGCAGGGATGGTCTGTCACACTGCATTCACCTGGTCCCGATCATGTCTCTGTCCCAACAGTTCACCGGATCGGGCGCACAGGCCGTTCAGGCAACACCGGCATTGCCACCACCTTCATCAACAAGGCCTGCGGTGAGGAGCAGTCCGGGAATGGGGGCTGCGGCTCTAGGAGACACCTGGGCTGTGGCAGGGGGGGTTGTTCTGAGCAAGCAGGATATCTGGAGGAGGGAGAAATGGTGGCACAGGGCAGTGCCCCCCACCCCTGCTCGGACTGTTCCTGACATGTATCTCTGCCCCCAGATGAGTCTGTGCTGATGGACCTGAAGGCCCTGCTCCTGGAGGCAAAGCAGAAGGTGCCTCCTGTGCTCCAGGTGCTGCACTGTGGGGATGAGACCATGCTGGAGATCGGAGGTGAGAGACTCCAGGCTGGCACAGGGACCCCCCTGGTCTGCAAACAGGACCCCCAGCTCCTGAGGTGGTTCCTGCCTAGCCATGCAGGCAGCCTGGTGCCACAGCACTGGGGAGACAGTGATGTAGCCCCTCTGCTCTGGGGTGGGGAGCCTCTGTCCTGGTGTGGCACAGCTCCTCCTAACCTCCTCCCTCCCATTGCAGGTGAGCGGGGCTGTGCCTTTTGCGGTGGCCTGGGCCATCGCATCACCGACTGCCCCAAGCTGGAGGCCATGCAGACCAAGCAAGTCAGCAACATCGGCCGCAAGGACTACCTGGCCCACAGCTCCATGGACTTCTAGCCTGGGGAGTGTGCTGCCCCGCATTCCCCCCTCAACACAGGTCTGGGCTTCCTTACAGCCCAGGGGCCTGTCCTGCACTGCTGTGGTCCCTTTTCCATGTTTTGGCCACTGGGACTGTTACGAGCTCAGCCTGATGAAGCTCCTGCCCTGGGAGGAGATGTGTGGAGCTGTGCTGCAACAGTGTGTTACATCAGCGGGGACATGTTGGGCAAGCAGGTAGCAGTGCCTGAGGGCAAGAGGAACCCCAGGTGGGGGACTTGACTGTGGCCAGCTGCCTGCTCTCCCTGCCAGCCCCCTACAGTGGCATCGTCAGAGTCTTACATTGTTCCTCTCCAGAGCTCCTCAATTCCTCCATGTCCACCCCTTACCTGGTATTATCCATCCTGAGTGGGTGGCTGTTCCTGCATCCCCAGACTTGCTGGGATGCAGCCGGGGTGAGGTGGTGCATGTTGTGCTCATGTTGGGCGCTCCCGGAGCCGCTTCCTGTGCTCTGCCCCCGCGTTCTGCCCCAGTGCCCTGCAAGGGGGAGGGCAGGCACATGGACACCTCCTGTGGCCCAGCCTCTGCCCCCCATCCCACACCCCAAAAAGGGGAAGTCGCTGTGAGAAGGAAGTCTGCCCCATGCCCTTCCTTCGGCGGCAGCAGTCACATTTTCTCCGCTGCGGGTAGCCCAAGTCCCTTGTCCTCGTGCTGGCCGGGGTGGACTGGTCCCATGGAGAGACCGGTGAAGGATGGGATCCTCTATGTGCAGCACTGCAAATTTGGAAAGGTAAAGGGTGGATTTGGGGCTTTTAGAGGGTTTTCCCTGATCTGATGACGTCAGCCTCCAGGCCCTCGGCAACCTGGGAAAAGGGGGGACTGGAGTCAGATGCCTTGGAACTGCTGTGGGGGGAAAAACTTCCCCTCCCAGGGGGGAGCCCTGGGCCCTGCAGCCCCAGGAGTGGGGTTCTCCCTGCGGCTGAGGGAACTCATCCATGTGGGCACACACTTGCGCTCACCCCTGTGCAGGGTCCGTCTTCTCGCTTGGTCACCGCGCGAGTCACAGTGGAACAATAAATGTGTATTACTGTGGCACAGTTCCAGTGTGTGTGTGTGGGAGCCCCAGGGCAGCACGTGGGATGTGGCCTTGCGCCCAGCCTTCCCTCCACCTGGCCCAGGGGACCAGCAGCATCCATGGGACACCCTCATGGCTTGGGCTGCTCTCCTGCACCCTCGGGGTGGGCTCTGAGAGCCACAGCCCTTGGGGCAGGGTACAGGGGATATGGTGGGGGAGACCCTGGGGTTGGGCAAACTGCAGGGAACTGTTGTGTGTTGGTGAAGAAGGTCCTGCTGTCACATTGGCCATGCCGTGGCAGGGTCCTGTGGTGGTCTCAGTGGATATATGGGGCTGCAATCACTCTCTGACCTCCCTGGTGTGTGAGAGCCGAGCCATGGAAGCTCAGCAGGCCCTGTGTGCAGGGGGCCAGTGCCTTGCTGTGCAGGAGACAGGCGGGCTGGGGGCGGTGGGTATTTTGGGTGTTTGGTTGCATCTGGTTCCTGCAGGGTGGAGGCTCTGCTGCACTTTTGAAGCACATGGGGACACGCGCCCCCGCTATCCCATGACAGGCTGGGAAGGTGCTGGTGCTGCAGAGGCTCCCCTGGGAGGAAGCGGGCTGCTCAGCAGATGTGGGGCTGTCAGCAGGAGCCCCAGTAGCTCAAAATGGCTTTAATTTGCATCAGGGTCTGTCCTGAGAACAGCTCGTGCTCAGCTGCAGCAGTGGCAGGCCAGCACTTGCAGCGGGGAACAAAGAGCAGGACCTGGTGCTCAGGGAGCCAGGAGTGAGCATGACTCACCCAGCAAGCTATGCCAAGCCCGCCTGGGGCAAGGCCCCCCTCGACCCAGCTTTAGGACTGCCCTGCCCCACAGTCTGGGGGTCTGCACTGTCCCTAGCTCTCCAAGCCCTCCTGCAGCACCTGGTGGGTGCAGGCTGGGATGCCCCCTATACCCCTCCTGCCACATATGGCTCTTTCCAAGCGCTGCTGGCCCCACATGGAGCACAGCACTGCCAGGATGCAGCAGGCAGCTCCTTGCTGACCTGTTTTTTCCCTGCCTGTGCCCCTCCTGTTCCTCAGAGGTCCTGGAGGAAGATGCGAGCCCAGCTGTTCGCCTCCAGCCCCTCCGGCGTGGCCCGCATGGAGAAGTTCGACGTGCGGGATGACGGCACAGCCCCAGAGAAGACACCCCCGCAGCGCTGTGCCCGCCGGGTGATCCGCCTCTCAGACTGCGTCTCTGTGGGCCCGGCGGGCACGGAGAACTGCCCCAAAGCCACCTCTGCTTTCTACCTCACCACCACGGAGAAGAGCTACGTGCTGGCAGCTGAGCAGCGGGATGAGTGGATTGCCCAGCTCTGCCAGCTGGCCTTCCAGGTACTGTGGGCTCTGGCAGAGCCAGGAGCCCTTGTATTGCTCCTGCTTGGATGAACTGGGGGGCTCAGGGCCGGCAGGGGGCTTGTGCTCCCTGCTGTCCCAGACCATGCTCACATTCCTCTGTTTCAGGGTGCAAAAGAGACAGTGCTGAGTAGTGCCATGACCCAGCCCAGCCCCTCTGTCCCCATGGAGGAGAACTCTCTCTACTCTTCCTGGCAGGACTGTATGTGCAGGGGTGGGGGGTAGGGCTGGCATGGGCTCCAGATCAGTGCTGCAGTGCTGACCCCTGCCCTGCTCTGCTCCTGCAGTGACGGAATTCCTGGTGCTGGTGGTCCAGACAGATGCGTCCACCCGCTGTGGTCTGCAAGGGCAGTATCTGCTCTCAGCCCTTCCCCAGAGCCTGACTCTGAAGGACCTGCAGTCCCACCAGCCCCTGCTTACCTGGCCCTACCCCTTCCTCCGCAAGTTTGGCCAGGATCAGGTGAGTCCCCTGATCCCTCCTTGGGGCTGCTGGCTCCCCAGGGTGGATGCCAGCTCCTCACCCTCCCCTCTGGCCCTGCAGGCTGTTTTCTCCTTTGAGGCTGGTCGCCGCAGTGACTCCGGCGAGGGCACCTTCACCTTCAGCACCCCACGGGCCCCTGAGCTCTGCCGGGCTGTGGCTGCTGCCATTGCCTGCCAGCAGCAGGGCAAGGACACCTCAGACCCCAGACTCTTCTGCGTCCCAGAGCCCCAGCTCTCTGCACAGGGCCCTGAATCCCAACCCTGGGGACCTGGGACAGAGGATCCCCAGGCCAGGCCAGCCCTGGGGGGGTCACAGCCTGCCTCCCATGGCGCTGCCAGCCTCCTCCACTTCACCCCGCCGGACCCAGAGGGCTCGTGCCCCATTGTCTACGCCTCCATTGCACGGGGCCACCAGCCCCTCTTTGTGCCAGGGCAGCCGGGCTCTTGTGAGCCCTGGGCCGCGGGGAAGCCGCTCCCTGAGCATCTCTACGAGAACATCTTCACCGCGGAACTGCTTCCAGTCGGGACACAGGAAGAGGAGGAGGAAGGGCAGTGGGAGCTGGGGTGCCGACAGGCGCCCGAGGGCCACAGCAGCGAGGGGGGACCCCTCTATGACAACCGGGCCGCCCTGGCACAGCCCACCGGGGCCGCGGGCTGGGGGCGCGGGGGGCAGGAGGCGCTGCTGGGGCGCTCCAGGCAGAAGCCTCATAGCACCCTTCGGGCTAAGCTGGTGCGGCTGCTGAGCCGGGAGAGCGCCGGGGCGCGGGACTGGGCCTGATGCGGTCGGTGCCGTTCGGTCAATAAAGGCCCTGCCCGGACCCGGCTCCGCCGCTGCTGCGGAGGGGGCAGCTTTCGCCTCTCCGCCAGGGGGCGCCGCCGTGCCCGCCCCGCCGGGCAGAGGCGCGCGCGCTGATTGGCCGAGCCACCCGCCGGCCCCGCCCTGTCCCGGTGCTACATAAGGCGGGTCCGGGCCGGGCGGGGGCGGTGCCCGGGTTCGAGTCCCGTGTCCGCCCGCTCCGTTCGGCTCCGCTCCGCCGAGCCCCCGCGGCCGCGGGTGAGTGCGGGAGGCCTGGGCACGGCGGGGAGCTCCGCGCTCTCCCGGGGGGGGGATGGGGGCGCGAGGGGTGGAGGACTGGGGCCTGGGTCGGGGCGAAGGCGGGTGGTTGGGGTCGGGCCCGTGCGGGGCAGAGCCGCCGGCCCCGACCCCCGGGAGGGGCGGTGCTGTGGGATGGGGAGGGGTCGCGTGGCCCCCCGCGGGGCAGGGGGGCTCCCCAGCAGTAGGAGGGGCTGCCCAGGCTGTGCGCGCTGGGGACCCCCGGTCCGGCCGGGCCCGGTTCGGCCGGGAGGGGTGCGGGGTGTCCGCCCCGTCCCGGCGCCTCGCTCGGGCTTGCGCGGCTGCCGGGCGCCGGGAATGCCTGACACGCAGCTCTTCCCCCGGCCCTCCCGAGCGGGGAGCGGGCTGGTGTCGTCTTACACGCCTTATATAGCCCGCACCGGCCCGGGGAGAGCGGGGGCACGCTGGCCCCCGGCCCTGCAGCCGCTCTGCCGGCCCGTGCGGGGCGCGGGGAGTCCTGCAGACGGCCCCGCTCCACCCCGGCAGGAAGGTCCTGGGGCGTTTCGCGGGGGTCTGGCGGCTCTCGGTGAGGGGTGACAAGAGGCTGGTGCCGACCCATCTGCCCGGAGCCTTGGCCGGCTGACAGCTGTCAGGCAGGGGAGCGCTGGGATTCCCTCCCGCCGAAGCCCTGGAGATGGGCTCACTCCCAGGGAGCATCTGCTCAGCCGGCTGCTGGAGTGCCAGCCTGGCTGCTCTGCCAGGCGCCTCGGGTGGCATCACACAGTTCCTGCGCTGCTGCTGCTGCTAATTCATCCGGCAAAAACGCTTCTGGTTCATATCCCTCCATACCTGCTGTTGCTTCTCTGCAGTCTAAACAGCCTTGGCTCTCTGCAGTGTGAGTTCCTGGGGTGCTGCAAGGGAGACCACAGCCCAGGTTTGGGAGGAGAACAGAGCCCACAGACACTCCACTGTGGGTGGCAGCAGGGCTGTGCCTGGCTCTCTGGCACTAGTCAGTGTTAGCCTGGGCCCCTCAGCTCTGACGTCCTGAAGGAGATGCTGATGGATTTGGGGTGCGTCTCTAACCACAGTGTAGGATGGTCAGGGTGGAGTTACAGCTGGAAATGTGACCTGCCTCCTCCTATCCTACCCTGCCAAGCACTGGACCCCCTCCTCGGCTGCTCTCCCTGCATTGTTCCCATGTATCCTAATGCCAGGATCGCACCCTCTTCCCTTGCAGAGATGGGCGACATGGAGTCCTACAAGGTGATGTTGAACGGGCCGGCACCCTGGGGCTTCAGGCTGCAGGGAGGGAAGGATTTCAGCATGCCACTCTCCGTCTCCAGGGTAAGAGAAGCTGAAGCTGGTGACACCCATCCTTCCCCCTGCCTCTGTGGCAGGAAGGCTGTGGCAGCAGTGTCCAGGTGGCTGAGTCGGAGTCCTACAGGGAATGCAGATGAGTTGGGGCCCCGGGAGTGCTGCATCCTGCCCTGCCTGGCTCCACGTAGCCTCCTTGGTGCCTTATCAGCTGCAGCCCGGCACGGGGGTGTTCCGGGCAGAGAACTGCGGCAGAGATGTGAAATGCTGCACAGCCTCTGCAGAGGGGGGCAGGGGAGGCCCCTTCCGGAGCATGCCCACCGCAGGGGGAGGGAATCTGCTCTCTGAGATGGTGGACTGCCTTCCTGATCCACATCCCAACGCTGGGATCGGCATCCCAGGACCCAACCAGCGTCCTTCTGCCCTCCCTTCCACTACGCGGCTCCTAACTCCATGCCTGAGCTCATCCCTGAAATGGACAGGGAGAGGAGGAAGCTTCTGCTGCTTCCTGCACAGTGACATGATTCCCTCCACAAAACTATTCCGTTTCTCCAGGGAGAGCCACTGTGCCACAGCTGGTTGTGACTGAGGCCTCAGGTTTGAGCTGTGCCCAGTGAAATGCTCAGCCAGGCCAGGCCTGGCCGCGGGCGGGTGCTGGCCACGACTCCGGCCACGCAATTGCCTTATAAGCCTTGGAATGTGACTGCAATGCCTGTGCCTCTGGCGCTTGGGCAGCTGGCACAGAGGCTGCTTCTCGAAGGACAGCTTTGCTCGTGGCACCGGATGGTGCGTGCACCCAGGCAGGGAGGATGGCCCCTGAGGCCACTATGTGAGGCTGGAGTCACCAGCACCGCTGCCCCAGGGCCTGCTGATCTCTGCTGAGCATGCAGAGAAGGCTTCAGCGAGTTTATTCTCTAAAAAATGTTTCTCTTGGCTGCGAGCCAGTGCTTAACAAAGGGTCTGGTCGGATGGAGGAGCCTCCCAAAGCCCTGGGGCAGGGGCCTTGTGAAGCAGCACTTGGTGGGGCTTGGGCAGTGCTGCTGTCAGGAGCAGTGAGGGCATTCCCAGGGGATGTAGCCAGCTTTGGCGGGCTCTCTGTTAAGACCAGACTGTCTGGCAGGGCGATATGCTCTGTCTGATGGGAGGGGGTGAGCCTTGCATTGCTCTACACCCCAGAGACATTCCCAGCCCCGGAGCTCTTGCCCAGAGCACACTGCTGCCCTTGGCCACCACTTCCCATGAACTTGCCCTGCTAAAGTAGGGTGGAAGGAAGCATCCTGCCCCGGCTTTGAGGGCTGCAATGGGGTCCTGCTCTGTGGGGCTGAGGAGCATAGGGGGAAAGCAGCACTGGCATGTGCTCTGGCTCTTGGCTGTATCACTCAGTGTGACACTACTGGGTGAGCTGTCAGGCTGCTGCAGCTCACTGGCCACACACAGAAGAGGTGCCACCATGGCCCCCTGCACATGGACCTCCCGTGGCAAGGGGCTCTGCTGGGGTACTGACACTGGGGCAGACTGTATGCCACAGTCCCTGCGGCAGAGCCAGGGCAAGGGCTGCCATGTGGGGAGCTGGGTGCTGTGTGGCACATCCCAGCATATGCCAGCTGGGAAAGAGGGGAGACCCTTGGTTATGCTGGCAGGATGGTGCTGGGGGATGCACCTTCCAGCCTCTCCCCACCATGCTGAGTGGGGCTCTGTCCTGGGGGTCCCTGGAAGGGGTGGCAGGTGGGCACCTCTCTGGGCGGGGTGACAGAGGTGCAGGGAACAAAGGACTGGCTGGGTGGAGAAGGGAGGAAGGAAACCCTGGGTTTAGGTTAGCGGGCCTGGGTGGGAAGCGGGAGGGCTGGCGCTGCTACAGCTCCTGGCTCAGCTGGCACCTGCCACAGGAGTTTCCTGGCATGCCAGCATGGAGGGGGACGGGAAGTGCTGACCGGGCTGGGTGAGGCTGTGTGACGCAGCCTGACGTGCTCTCCCCTTCCCTGCCGGCCGTGTGAAAACCTTTCCAAGCTACTGCTCCTGCCTCCAAACCCACGCAGCCACCCCGTGCCTTCCCCAGCCCTCTAGGGCAGCAAGCCGGGGCTTGCAGTGGCATTGCCAGCCGGCACTGCTGTTGCCGAGGGCACCCTCCCGTGCTGGTCAGGAGGAGCAGGCACTGGGCTGAGGGGTGGCAGCGGGATGCAGGAAGAGCCGAGCCACATCCAACCTGGCTATGGGGTTTGGCCTCACGTGGAGCGCCAGTGCTGGCGTAGGGAAGGGGAATGTGGCTCTGGGGTGAGCCAGGCTCTGCGCACGGGCAAGGAGGGGCCAGGACTCAGCGGCAGGGATTTTTCAGCCCTCTGACAGTGCTGGGAATCTGGCTCGCTCCTTTTATGTTCATGTCGAACAGGACTTGAGGAAATACTTGGTCCAGGTCCAAGCGCCTCGAGTTCTTCCATGCTGGAGGAGCAGGAATGGCTGCACCCTGCCTACGTCTGTCTGTCTGTCAGTGCCTGGGAGCTGTGTGTGGTGCTCCGGGCCCTGCTTGCCTCTGGCTGTGCATCCCTGGTGGGAGGGGAGGGCAGGACAACCTCCACTTCCCAGCACGGGACTGACGTAGAGCCGTGCCATGGAGCCGCAGCAGGGGCAAGGCACATCCCTGGCACTGTGGCCGGGAAGGAGAACCCGTGGTCGTGCTCTCGGCTGTCCTGGCGGGGCGATGTCTGGGGGAGCAGCGTGGGTGGGGGCGGTTGTCTCCCTGCCTTGGGAGGGCTCCTGCTCCTCTGTGGGAATGAGGTAATGTCTGCGCCTGCTGGGAATGGGACGGGAGCGAGGAGTGCAGGCGGCTGGGGGAGTGCCCAAGGGGTGCCTCCCCTGACTCCCCCCTCGCCCCAGGCGAAGGGCTGGACATGCCTGTGGTTTGCAGCGAGATGTGGGCTGCCCAAAGGGCCCTGACTCACTGTGCTCCCTTCCTGCCCTGGGACCACAGGGATGGCTCTGAGGGGTGGCTGGGCTTCCTGCCGAGGCTGAGCCAGCACCGCCTCCGTGTTTGGCCTCATGAGGATGGGGCTCTGGGGTGCTGGCATAGTCCCCAGCCATGCCAGAGGGCAGGGGCTGGGCAGCGCCCAGGGGTACTGCTTTGCTCAGTGCTGCTACCAAGAGGAAGAAGCTGCTCTGGGCTCATGCACTGGGAAATGAGGAGTGAGCTGGGTGTTCCCACATCCCCCTGGGTCAGGCCTGTGTGGGTATCCTATGCTGGGCTGGAGAGCCTGAGTCCCAACAGACCCCTGCCTTCATAACGATGAGGACATCCCTCTACTCCTGAGCCGGCACTTGGCTGTTTCAGCTCTCTCTGATCCTGTCTGTCTTGCAGCTGACTCCAGGTGGGAAGGCGGCTCAGGCTGGCATGGGAGTGGGCGACTGGGTGCTGTACATCGACGGGGAGAGCACCAGTGCCATGACACACATTGAGGCCCAGAACAGGATCCGTGCCTGTGGGGACAGGCTCTGCCTCACCCTGAGCAGGTAGGAATCATGGGTCCTGCAAACATGGGTTCCTGGTGTGGCCAAAGCAGAGCCAGGGCCATCTACCAGTATCTCCATATCCTGCCATATCCTGCCATCACTGATCCAGCTCAGAACTGGGCAGCCCCTGGCTGGGTCTGAGGGCTCAGCTTGGCTGGATGAGGCTTAGCCTGGCTGTGAGCCACAGGGCAGTGGCAGCAGGCCATGGCTCCCCTTGGGTGGTTGTTGCATCCCTGGGGTACCAGTGTCCCAGCAGTGCCTGGACCAGTTCCAGCACCTGCCTATCTGTCTCCTCTCTTGCAGAGCCCAGAACCAGCTGGGGAAGCCGCAGAAGGTATGTGTCGCTCCTGGTGCTGCAGTGGCAGCTCAGCCTCATCTCAGGGGAAGGGAATCTCTGAGTGTAGATGGATAAATAGACTTTGCTCCCGGGGCTCACAGGCTTTTAGGGGACTGGGGTGCGTTTGGAGGTCTAGATAACCCTGCTGGAGTAGCAACTCTGACCTCTGGCACCGTGGAGGATCAGAGAGAACTGTGTCTGCTCAGGAGGCAGCTTGGTCCAGGCTGTTCCCCTGCTTGTGCCGGGCTTGGGCAGGGGTACAGAAGGGTCAGTGCAGGGGAGGAGACTGGGCAGGTGCAGCACCGTGTTTGCTGGTGCTGGGGAGTGCTCTGGCACAGGGAGGCAGGGCTAGGGCTGGTGACCAGTGGCTCCTGGATGGAAGCTACCTACATGGGTTCAGCTTTGTGCCACAGGATGGTTGCGATGGGTGTATGTGCATGCACCGCCCTGCCATGGGCAGCAGCAAGTGTCTGGGGCACCTACTAATCCTCCAACGACCCTCAGGCTGGGTTTGTGACCTGCTGTCACTGGGCTGGCTACCCTGTGGAGAGCAGTGCCAGCCTGACAGAGCCCAGTGTCTGAGGTGCACGTGCTCTCCAGCTTTCCTACCTGGCTGCCTGCTGCGCTGCCTGGCCCGGGGCTGTCCCTTGCATGCTGCTTGACGTGTGAGCCCGTGTCTGTGTGTTTTGTCTCGCTCAGGACTCACTCCCCTGCTCTGAGCCCCTGAAATATAACTTCGCTCCCAGCACCGCCCTCAACAAAACAGCTCGGCCCTTCGGGGCTGGCTCGCCTCCGAACCCACGGCCCGGGCTGGTGACGAAACCTGTGACGTACGCGCCCCTGGCGCCCGCCTGCACCCCCCAGCACAATGGGTATGTTGCTGTCCATCCTGCTCCCTGAGGACTAGGGGGAGCCCGCTGCCTGACCCTGCTGCGCCTTGCATGCCAGACACCGTGGGTGGGAGTGGGTGAGAGTGCCCGTGCCAGGGTCCCCGGTAGCTGGTGCTGAGGTGGCACAACAGGACTGTTGCACACAGGGACACACAGCCACACTCGTGCTGATCTCTAGCTCAGGGATGTGTCAGCCTGTGTCCTGCAAGGCATGACACAGCAGCTGTAGCAGGACTCTGGCATCTGCAGCAGCAGGGAAACAGTGGCTGCCTGGGGATGTCCTGCTGGTCCCCCAGCTGCCAGGATAGGGTGGGCAGTGTGAAGCCCCCCAGCACTGCACAGCACCATTCTCACCCAGCTCTGCTCAGCTGCCTGTGTCTGGCAGCTCCTTGTCCCTCCTGAGAGAGCTACTGTAGTGCCCTGGAACTGGGCAACGGAGTGGGATGTGGCACTGGCTGCCCTGGGCACCCAGGCCTGTTCTCAGGGTTGAGGGAGCACAGTCTGGTCCATTGGCATCTACCCCTGTGCCCCGGTGTGCTCCCAGCCCTGGGTGAGCCGGGTGTGAGTCTCAGGGGTAAGGGGAGTAATGTAGGCCATAGGTGAACTCTGGAAACTTCTTGGGTGCTGCAGGTCTAATTTCACCTTCCTTTTTCTTTCTTTCTCTCCTCCCTTTCTCTTTCCCTCTCCCTACAGGTGCTGAGCCTTGACAAGTCAGTAAGCCTTTTGCCTATTCTCTCTATCCTCCCTGCATGCCTCTTCCCTGCTATTACCCTGTTCTCCTGGGCAGGGCCAGCCTGGGGACGGGCAGCACATGCTGCTCTGCCGATGTGGGTGGGTCACTTTTGGCAACAAGCTGTCCCCAACCTGAAGGGCAAGTGCTGCCTGTCTCTACCAGTTGCTGGGGCCCTGGAGTGTCCTTGTATTTGGTCCCTTCCCTGCTTCCCGAGATGTGGCTCGGCCAGACAAGGGCTGATGGGCTGTGCTAGGCACCCTGCCCAGGGGCTGGTGGCATGCCATGGGCAGTCACTAGGCTCTGGCGCAGCTCCCCTGATGGTGGTTTTTTGACCTTGGCTTATTCTTGCTCTGTCCTTTCTCCTTGTGGCCCTTGGGGCCAGTATAACACTGTCAGGAATGGTGGTCAATCCGAAGTTGGTCCTTCGTGGGCCAGGTCTTTACTGGGGAGAAACAGAGGGGTGGCGAGTAAGGCAGTGTGTGGTGTCTTGAGTATTGGTGTGCTGTGGTTCTTTGCCAGGGGAGGTGTGGGGCAGCCCCAGGGAGATGCCATGAGATCTGTCAGATTTGACAGATGACTCTGTCACTCACAGGCAGCCCCCTCAGCTGCTGGAGCCCCCCAGCAGCCCCGTGTGCGACCCTGTGAAGCTGCGGATGTTAGAGGACATCGATGACTCGCAGCCCCACAGCTGGACCTCCCAGTCCCGCTCCTTCCGCAAACTGGCCCGGCTGGTGGGCGCAGACAGCAGTGAGTTGCTGTGGGGCATTGTGGTGCTTGAGTGTTGGTTCTGGCCCCATGTGGCCCCTGTGGGCCAGCTGAGCCAGTGGGAGCTGCCCGGGGCTGTGTGTGGGCTTGTGGTGGTGCCGCCACTGGTCTGGGGCTGTGCTCTGCCCCGTGGCTGGGCAGGGCTGTGCAATGAGGCAGGTGGGTGGCTGGAGGAGAGGGCGTTTTCCCTTTCCCTTTCCCGTTCCTTTTCCATTTCTTTTGTCTCTGAGCCTCGGTTGCTGCAGACTGACTCTGTCTCCCCCTTTCTCTCATGTTACACTCAGTGGAGGATGGTGAGGATGAGCTTGTTAAAAAGCCCAGGTAAGGGGAGCGTGTACAGGGGTGGCAGCAGGAGCCACAAGATGCTCAGCCCACCTGGCTGCTTCGTCCTCACAGCTTGCAGTCACTCTGGGGGATGCTCTTCGCCCTGTTGCTCTTTCTTCTTTCCTCCTCCTCCATCCTCTCCCCTTCCCAGAGCCGAGCGTTTGGTGGAGCTGCAGAGCCTGCCCTGCACTCAACCCACTGTGGGCACTGCCAGTGCTCAGCCACTGCTCTGACTGTCACTTTGGGAGGGTCCTGCCTGGACACTCACCGGCCAGACAGGATGTCCCGTGCTGGGTAGGACCCTCTGGGCACTGCTGGCACCAAGCTGGGAAGACCAATCATCTGCTACTGCTATTTAAGCAAACGGTATCTGGAGAAGGCTGGTGGCACTAGCAACACCTTGCTGGGGGTGCTCTGAGGTCCCAGGCATTGCCTGGACCTGGGGCACAGTGTGCCATGAGACTGGCGTGCAGTTGCTGGGCAGAGCTGGGTGGGTGTCGCCGACTTCTCCTTGTGCTGGAGTGCATTCGTGAGGGATAGGCTGAGCGCTGGTCAAATACTGAGTGTTGTGCTGCTGTTTTTTCCAATATCACAGGGATGCCCATGGGTCCAGCTGGGGCACAGTGGAGCAGTGGTGAGTGTGGTGGTTTGGCAAGGGCACCTTTGGGAGCACTACCCTGTGCTGAAGCAGGGTCTGTGCTTGGTGTTGGCTGAGCTCCTGCCCTCTGTCACTCACAGGCAGCCCCCTCAGCTGCTGGAGCCCCCCAGAAGCCCCGGGTGTGATCCTGGGAAGCTGCGGATGTTGGAGGACGCTGAGGACTGGCAGCCCCGCACCGGGACCTCCCAGTCCCGC